GCTTGCTTTGTAATTTGTCTTTCTGTTCATAAGTACCACGATCGAATCCCGTCGACGGCACTATCATCCAATATGCACTTCTTTCTAGTAAGTCAAGCTTTTCTCATATCGACACACACTCTGCTAGACAATAGACAATGAAACCTTAGCTAGTAATTAAAAATACCCCCAAAAAATATTTTTAAAAGTATATTTTTAAAAAAAGGAAAAACCGCGTTTAAACACGTCTAGGAAAAACGCGTTTAAACGCTAGCAAATGGTGCATTTCAGGAGCGATTAAACGCAGCAAAAAACGCGTTTTCAGACGCGTCTGGGATTGAAAAATATTTACATGGGGGGAGAGTCTTAAAACCTTTAAATGCCCGTCAGTTAGTCAGTCCGTCTGTTGCTTTTGCAATAGGCAACGTTTCAATAAACATTAGAGAGAACCACAGGTCCAAAGACTAAATTTGACTGATGTTTAAATTTTAGGGAAAGCCCTAGTGCAAACCACTTTTTGGCCAAGTTTCGATGCCTGTTCCGAGAGTTGTTATGAAAAGTTTTTTAAGGCCACAGGTGGTTTCGAAGATGATCTGAACTGAGCTCTTAAGTTTAAAGTACGGATTCAATTAATTTCGAATAGTGATCAGTTATTTCTGAGTCACCCGATAAAATAAATCCTACGTTTTCTGCGAGTGTAGTTGCTATTACACTTTTCATTCACGTTTAGTTTAAGCTTTTTATTTAAAGAAATCAAAAAAAAGAAACAAGAAAAGAAGACCAAACAAGTGAAATCATTGTCCTAAGGACTACATTGTATCTCCTGAGAGGAATCCTTAAACAGAACATCATCATAAAATAAAAATGGACGAAAAGAAAAGAAAAACGTTGGACTTAGAGAAGAAAGAAAAGAACATAAAGTGAGAGCAATAAAAATAGATGAAGGAAACTGTGTCAATAGGAGAAAAGCACCTAATATTGGCGTTTTAGAAACAAGGAAGTGGATCAGTTAAATCTGTAAAAGTGAAAAAGTAGAGGACGTAGTCTGTTAGAAACGCTTACTGGCAGTAATAAAATCACCCACAAACTGACACACAGATATCAAGAGATCACTGGATAAGTGTGTTCTAAGTAGAAGTGTATCAATATCTAAACTAAGACCTAGATTATCCAGCTGAATAGCCAGAATTGCTCGAGCTCGATCGTACTTTGGACATTCCAAGAGATACTGTTTTGGATTTTCAACAACCTTTATGGACGGAGACAGAGAAAAACAGCTATCGCAGAAATTTTTATCAACAAGTTTATGTTGTTTGAGATGGAAGTTAAGCGCAGAGAAATCCACTCTTAAGCGGCAAAATAGTGCATCAGCTCGACGATGTAATATATATGGTAATTTATTGGTAGATGGAAGTACAATGTTTTTTAACTCTTTCCGAAATGTCCCAGGCTTTTGTCTAACACTTAGTTGCAGATTTGTTGAGATGAGATCAGACCATTCTCTAAGAGCAGTCGGGAAAAAGGACAACCGAAAAAAAGAACTTTTATCTGCATAATCATATAGTTTAGGCACCCTGTCTCGTCTTAAGCTGTACTTGTTTTCTTTACCTCTACGTATCTAACATGCTGAGCACTTATTCTAACTAAACCAAAAATAATCTTATAAATCATGCACATTCTGTTAACATAGAATAGCTGAGAGAACGAGAGCCAATGTTGATCCTTGAATAACTTATCTTTAGAAGTACCTCTCATAGCAGCACTAACAGTCAAGCAGATACTGACAACTCTCTAATTTTAGGATATTCTTTTGCGTAGTCAATGAGTATATTTCGCTGCCATGGTTAACTAAAAACTGAATAAGAGATTTGTATAAGCATTCAAATACTGAACGATTGAGATTCCATTTGAGAAGTCTCATATAGTTGTGAACGAAAGTTATTTTTCCAATTACGAAGTCAATATGAGAATCCCACGATAGATTGAGGAGAGAAATAGACCTAGGTGTTTATGAAGAGTAACTTCGCGAACGAGTTTGTTCTGAATTAATAACGGTGAATGGTATGAATTTAAAGCTAACGCACGTTTATGAAATAACTGGCGACACATTTTTCAAAATTTAGAGTAACTTGCCATGTAGAACACCACTGAACTATTTGTTCAAGATCTCTGTTTATTGTGTCAGTTGACTTTTGAAGAGAAGATGAGTAGTGAAAAAGACTGGTGTCATCAGCATACAAACTGAAATGAGATTCAAGACCCTCTCCTAGATCATCAATATAAATGAGAAATAAGAGAGGGCCAAGAAATGATCCTTGAGGGACGCCGCAGTTTATTTCTAAAAAATCAGACGAAAAACCATCAACAACTGTTCTTATATTTCTATTATTTAGATTTTCAATCCACTTAACAACTAGTTCACATACCCCTTTTTGTCTCAGCTTGAAAATTATTCCTCTATGCCACACACTGTCGAATGCCCTTGAGAAGTCGAGGAATATAGCTCTTACAAAACCTTGTTCCTCAAGACCTTTATGAAAGTAGTGGATAAGATTTAACAGTTGATTAACACACGAGTCCCTTTTAACGAAACCAGATTGATGAACTGAAATGAGATTATTCGAGAAGAAATAGTTGTATAAATAGGTGAATATCACACGTTCCATAACCTTGCCGATAATAGGAAGAAGCCTTCAAAATTTTTACCGTTTCAATCGCTTCAAGCGATTTCCATACATGAGTTAACTGCAACCTTTTTGTACAATTGATGAAAAAAATGAAAGTGATCCTATTGAAAATCTAATAGGTGCATTTTGTTGCCCATCATTCACCGAGTCCGTGGTAAAAATTTCTCGACTACCACGCCTCAGGAAGCTGAGATAAACGAGACGCAGATTTACGACTACTCTTAATAACAATGTTTTCCATATCTTCTGAAAGTATTTGAATCCTCTATCAAATGGTATATAATTATTAGTGGAATATGTCTAACCGTTAATACGATTGAATTAATATCAGCACGCAGATAGTGGAAGGCCAGACTTGGCACTGCATTCATGGCCACATCTCCTATAAGCGAATTTAAAGTTGCTTTGACAATGTTTTTCTCTTTTACAGAAAATATATTGTAGAGTATTTTTTAGCGCTTTGATGGAATAAATTGTTATAGAACTTTGGAGGTGTCGATTTGCCTTTCTAGGCCTTGTAATGTGCAGTATAAGCAGCTCGATTGGAGTTATCTCATCGCCTCACACTTTGCTTGTTCTAGCTACAATAATGCTAAGTCAACCAGTGCACTCTATGAACTTGCATTCCTCAAATAAATGGCTTCTGAGCAGGAGAAAAAAGTAATATAGTACTGTGGTAGTTGAAAACGCAAGAAATAGAAAAAAGGTTGAATTTTCTGTTTAGAGTTAATAGAATTGAAATAACTTTTTTTGATGACTGTGATAACATTGCGTCAAACCAACCTTCTTACTAATACGAGCTAGCCGATCAGAATCAAAATATTTTCGAGTTTTCACATTATGATCGACCTTATCAATATAGCCATGTGACTTTCTCTGAGAGGATGTTTTGTTCAGGAAACAGTGTCTTTGTTCCCTCCTTTCGAACCTACCCCTTGTGCGTTGATAATGAATCAAAATATTAATTAAAAACACGGTTATATACTCCATAAATTGACGATGTACAGTATCACTTTACTGTTTATTGTTTTAATGTATTTGTGGAACTATCAACACAATAATTTAGATTCCGAAAACTTGGGATTTTATCATGGATGACGAACCATATAATCAAGATGACATAAGTAGATATGACACATTAAGATATACAATGAACTTTGTTCCATAGGGTGATAAAGCATTCCATATCATTGAACAGTTAAACTTTAACTGTTCAATGATATGTAGCAAATGGTGTGACAATCACTGATGAACAGCAAAAGGTCATGGGACGAGCTCGTGCTTATGTAGTTCATTTAGATGAACAAAACGAAAGTGAGTAATTGTGAAAGTACTTAATATTTGATACAATAATTCTTTTCTTACATCTGACTTAAACAGAATATTCTTTTTTTCTTTTTAAGGGTATGATTACAGCGGATATGATTGTGAAGGATACGATAAGAATGATCGTGATCATCAAGGCTTCGACCGCAACGGATACAATGAAGTTGGTTATAATAAAGATAGTTATGATCGTCAAGGCTGTGTACGTACACAATACTATTGTCCAACGCGTTAATTGAAACCCACATTCTAATACAATTAGCCATCTTGATCAGCTTTTTTGTGTTCAAACCCGCTTTTGGAGGTCTGTAGAAACTCTTTTTTAAAAACTGCATGCTTTTCAATTGATCCACTCTTTTTCCCGATTAAAATAAACGAGTCACTCTTTTACTCCACAGAAAATATTAGAAAAACAACACTGTTTATTATGGTTCGATTACCTCAGTGAATATAGTAGTTGCGAAAATCGAAATAAAATTATAAGACAGAGGGGAGTAGAGTTATATAATCGTATAACTTTTAATTGGTTGGTTCTCATTGTTAATGAACTAAAGTTCATAAGAAAAGTCTCCATATATTTAACTGGATTGACTCTTTTTTTCTCTATCGTTATAAGTGAGTGCGGAGGAAAAAATAGTCAATCGAAACTGCTCAATTCTTGTTTGAATATATCGGAAAATCTAATATGGCTTTTCAGAAAATGTTTACATCAATGTATAGACAATCGTCGGCTCATATCAATTTTTTTCCGTGGGAAACAAACGAGAAATAGTGGAATTACGAAGAAAATTCCACGAACTAAATTATAGAGAAAATGAACAGATATGGGGAGACGAGAAAATATGTGTCTGATGTATGCATGATGAGTGCAAACTATTGATCAAAGTGCGTAGTAGTTTTGATGAAATTAATAACTGCTCGATCGATAACGGAAAATTCATTGTGTCAAAGATTCGTTCAACACAAGTAATTTTCGATTCTACGTGGCATTGAATCAATAATTTGTTTAAGATAGTAGTACAACAAAAAGTATAATGATGACATATAAGAAACAAGTGCTCTACTCTTTCTGGCAAACCGTATGAACAAAAGTTATTTAACACCACAGTTTCACGAAATAAATGAGCATTTAAATTTGAAAAACCTATCTTAATCGGTAATATACTGTAATCATACTTTCTATCCGCTCCACATTCCAAAATCATTTAATTTATTATAAATTGAACTTAACTTCTTTTTAAATGAAATTATCTTAGTACTAGTTCTTAATTCATTAGCTAAATTGTTTCATTCCACAACAAAATGAGAAAACGATGACATTTCACGTTTTTTCGGCCCCGCGAATGTTACTACGATTTAATTTTAGAACGAAGTGCATGAGTATTGTTCTCGAGGTAAGTTATCTTGTTATGTAGATATGGCGGTACCAGGGCGCTGATTATTTTAAAATTTTGAATCAGTACATTATTAGTCATAATTACAAAATGTGAAGTCAATCTAAGAAGACTAGAAAGATGTTTACAACTAGAAACCAAGCATATCCAATTCGTAGTCCGCAAAAAACTACTTCTCACAATGAATGTCATATTCGAAATCTTAGTTGTAAACAATGTCTGTCATTTCAGGAAGATTTCCTATATTCTGGAGAATCGTTTCCATTATTTCGGTATTTATTCATTCTTAAAACTGTGGCTGAGTGCCATAATCGTTCTACTGTTCATTGTCTACATGTAAAAAGGTAACTTTTTTCTTTCATTTTGTTCATCTACCTACCTTAAGCATACTACCCTGTCAGAAATCAACCTTACGTCTACTATAGTTTGCCAGATTTAACTTGGATTTTGACACTCTTTCGTCTTTGGCGCCACCTACTAAGGAAAAACATTTATTTCTATATATCTGGTCATTCAAGAGGTATTAACGGTTTTCCATTTTGTAACCTACAACTTTCTCTAGAATCCTGCGTTATTTCATTCCGGACAGAGGTAAAATTTCAATTCGAAATTGCTGATCTTTGCTCTATCAAACAAACACTTTGAAATTTATGTCCGATGCGATTTTAGGCGTGTAATTTCGAGTTAAGGAAAAACCTGAAAATGATTATCAATAAGTAGAATCGATACAGGTTTGACTGCGTAACAAGTTGATAAGCAAATAAAATTTTTTGTACAGAAAATTCTATTATACTGCTGGGTATAGCCTCGTTTCATCAAAAACTCACTATTCGTTCAATCAAGATCAAACTTTGACTAGCTTTAGACCTCATGACATTCGATGTCTAGTAAAAAAGTGAACCATAAATACCCAGGTCGCAGGAAATGAGACATGTATGGCTCATTTATGATATGAAGTGAAAATGATCATATTAGGCATCTAGCAAAATTGGCGATATCTCTTTTCGCACATGCATGACGTATATCTTGATAGATATTCTGTTCTCTTTTTCTCTTTCGCCGTGTGAAGGAAGAGGAATAGTCAGTGCGGCGTTGTTTTCATTCATCATTTTATTCTTTTAACGCTTTTTTAAACATACAGTGACGAAATTGATAAAACAAGCTTTAAATGTAGTTCTGGTCTGACTAGTTTATGATTCAGACGGGTCTTGGACTGCGGGTCCTCACTTGTCAATCACTTTAAGAAAATTAGTTATCACCGAAAATCTGAAATAATCTGAATTCTAGCTGCATTGTTCAGTGGTCAACGGTCATTTTTAACTTTTGCAGAAGAGATACAATATTGCACTGTAAAATACAGAAATTAGGATTATTCAAAAGGAATATATATCAGAATACATAAATATGTGTGTTCTTTCTTATTGTTGTATCTAAGCACACATTCGTATCCTTCTTTCTGTGCCGTGTCTACGCATATCTTTCTTTTGTTTGATCATTTTAAACAAAATAACGGACATTTGAAAATGCATAATACCTATTTCAGATATAAAATAAGTTTGCATGTACATTGACAAGATAAGCGCAGCAAAGACTCACAGCTTGCCATAAATTATGTTGATGATGGAAAACACCATGAATTGCTTCAAGAACTTTCATTTCGCGCGTCAGGTGTTCAACAAATATTCGTTTAGCTGACAGATGATAGTTAAATAAATCTTTTGCTGATTGAGAAAGAGCTCTAAGTTCGTTTCTTCTAACCGGTGTGAGTAAATAGTCACCATTAGCGAATGCCTTATCAGCAAGTATTTTTGTATGAGGAGAAATTGTACAGTTTTGATTGGCACCGATACCACACGTGGATAGCATTTTACTATCGTGAACAGAACCGAGAAATCCTGATTTAAAGTATATCAGGCGATGATCAGTTGATATAACATATATAGAGGCAAGACAGTGTATTTTGCTCTTTCTGGAATAAAAAAACACGTTGAAGTCTCTCTGAAAGAAGAGAAAAGAGACCGTTAGCTGTCATTCAATAAAGATGTCCTTTATATACACACGTGATCTATTAATTCGGTGCCTTGCGCCATCAACGGCACCTACATAACGTCCCAATATTGGGTTAAACACAATTAAATCTATCATCTCGTTATGATTTGGCCAGATGCTCATTTGTCGGAGAGTTCTGGTCAGAATGGGTAGATAAAATCGGAGATGACGTGAGATCTTAGAAGTTGATACTTTAAACATAACGCCCAATAAACTGTTTCTCAGGTACTTTCTAAGTCAAATCAACAATAGCAATAAAATGTTTGCATTAAGCCTTTGAGTATGAATATATTTTTTTAAAAAAGATAATTTCACAATTGTTTTTGTCATAAGTCATGCTAAATATCATTGAACGTTTCACGTGTAATACCAGTTAGGTCACAAAAACGCCGTGGTGTAACTGCCAGTTCAGAGTATAAATCAGTTAATGAGCAATATTCAAATGATCATATGGCATTGTTAGATTATAAATTGCAAATCGCCTTAACGAAGGGAATAACTTCAATAAGATATGACGTTTCCAATATCATCATTGTTAATTCTTCCAAATTAATCAATCTGGACATTATGGATAAACGTACAACAGTAAAATATGTAAATAAGACGACTTGTGCACTAAAGGGAAAAAATTGTAATTGCTCTCTTCGTCTTCTTCGAATCTGATCCATTATACAGTACAATAGATATACAAAAAATGTAGAAACGATTTAGTTTAAAAACAGAAATGAATCTAAAGTATAAATATAAATCAGACAAAAGATGTTCTTTTTCTCTGATTCTGTGTGCGTGTTGGAGCTATAGATTATTTTGCCATGTAATATGTTATGGCGTTTATGTGTGTGAAAAGAAGGAGTGTTAACAAATGATGTCATCCAAAAAAAATTTCGGTGTTTTCCACCGTGATCTTTTGTAAAGATTTTTACTCAATACTGTAAAATTACTGTTACATAAGGATGTGCAACAGAAAAAAGTTTTATCAAGTGAAAGATCTGACTTTTATTTCATAAGTCTTTATAGTTTATAGCAATGAAATCAGTTGAGACAAAGAAGCTCGAAAGTTGTTCGTTTTCTCATCGTATTCCCATTTTTTGTTGTGTTTTGTGCATAAACAAGAAATATAATCTCGTCACTCCTTTTCAAACCCCTTTCTTATGTTAGAGTGGCATAATTTCAAGATTTTTACTAAAGATTTTTACTCAATACCGTAAAATTACTGTTACATAAGGACAAGTTTTATCAAGTGAAAACTTGATAAACAATCTAAAAATGATTTATTTATGTATCATTTTTATGTCATATCTCTAGGATCGTAGATGTGACATTTATGTGTCACTTTTACATCATTTTTAACTTCTCATCTAAAATGATTATTTTCTTACCATTATATTTGTCACATTTTAAGATCATAATTAGATCATAGCATTTATATGTATTAGATTAGTCATTTATGGGACATTATGACACAACGGAAGTATCAGCTTTTACCGCTCCACAAACACTGTACAGAGCTGAGCCTAGAGACTAAAAGATAGTAAATTTAATTTTTCTTATTTTTTTTTACTCCGAAGCCGACCCCCCCAAACCCCTTCTTCAGGGTAAAAATCCCTTTTTAAGCTTTATTTTCCGTTTTTGAAATGCACTCTTTGTGCAAATTTTCCACTAGGCATCGTAGCATCGTGACTAAAATATAAGGCTTACAAGCATATTGGAAAACGCGTTCTTTGATTTCGTTTGTCATGTGTAGGGTGCGAGAGAAGAGTATATAGTAAAATCAAAGAAAGTCACCGGGGAC